GAATAATGGGTCGGTTCCGTTAGTTTTTGGTTAATTTGAATAGGCCTTTCATTCACAAAGCAAATAAGTTCGATTTTAGTTCAAATTTGTAACGCTTAATTTAAACACATTCTAAATAAAAATGCAAAAAAAAAATAACATTTCATGAAAGAGCGTCTCCAATATAAATATTTGCTTAAAGAATACCTTAACTACACTATATATTCATTGTTTGACTAGATTAATTTACTTGTATTGTTCTTTATTTATTTTTCTATCTTAATTGTTGAGTTATATGACAATTATTTTCAAAGAAAAACCTTCAACATTCAACCTATAATATTCGACTCAAAACGACTATCAATCAAGCCATTTAATTTTTTTCAAAACCCAATAGAAGATATTGCTCAAATTATATTCCAATATATAAATTAATATCGTTTCATTAAAAATAAAAAAATTATATGCTAATTAAAAATAATTCAAATTACCTATAGAAAATAATTATTCATAAAGTAAAGTATAATGATAGAAACAAAATGAGGACCAAAAGTTAAAAAAATGAAGAAGAGAGACTTAACAAGTAATAAAATGAGGGAAAGAATAGAAAAAGAAAAAAATGAGGGGAGGCCCTAGGACTCAACTGAAAATAAAGAAAATCTTAATAAATAGAAAAAAGAAAAAATCAAAGGAGCTGCTCCAAAAGGGATTCGAACTTACATTCATAAGGCCAAGGAAAGCCTTTAAAGGGAAGGCTGAACCAATGGCACCCGCTTCCACTTTGCGACTTCTGGATGTCATTTTATCCATTTATACGTTTCTTCACAGAAATATTATGTACATAGTAAGAATTTTAACGAAACGAATGGGTGCCGTGGTACCCTTACCTCGTAAGGTAGATCCGCCCCTGTGCTTGACCAGTTAGCAAAAGACTCGGTTCAGTCAATGCATGACATTAGTTTACATAACCCAAAAGAAATGATTGTGTTGAAAAAATTGGAATTTATTAGGAGATATAAAGGGGAAGATGAACCCACAACTTTAAGATTCCCAAGGTGATCATTTGTAGGAAATATTTTGGCCACCATATTATTTATGTGGTTGAGTTTGTAGTCAAAAGAGAATAATCTAGCTAGCAATCCCCATAAAAATTGAAGGATGAAAGAGCCCCTTTCAATGGGAATGTGGTCACTCCTATATAGTAAATTAAAAATTTGTAAAATTATTGTTCTCAAAAGAGGGAATGAAAAGACAGGAAGCATCCTAGAAAGGAAAGAGATTAATTGATTGATGCCGAAAGGTCCACACACAAAAAAAAAAAAAAAAAAAAAAAAAAAAAAAAAAAAAAGAAGGAAGAAACTAATAACCATCTCATTTTATGCCTCTGTTTTTACATTTAAGGAAAAGAATAATATTGTAAGGAAAAGAGACACTCTAAGTACAATTCTATTCATAATACTCCCCCTTGAATGTCTACTCAATAGGTAATGTGCCTCGTTAAAACCTTAACTAAAATAAAATTCAGTAGGATAAAAATTCTAGAGAAAGAAAAAGAGTACACATGTTTAGAAATATGCCTTTTGGTTGCCTCGTTAAAAACCTTGCAAGGAAAATCGAATGGGACAAAATCTTGTAAGGAAAAAAAAGTACAACGCGTATTAACCCCCCCTTATAAGAGCATCAATTCACATCCTTGAGCCTTCACATCCCAATCTTGTACACTAGTTTTTTGAAGGTTGACGTCGGTAAAGATTTTGTGAACAAATCAACCATATTATCATTTGAACAAATCTGTTGCACATTGATATCACCATTCTTTTGAAACTCATGTGTGAAAAATAACTTCAGTGAAATGTGCTTTGTCCTATCTCCTTTTATGAATCCTCCCTTAAATTGGGTTATGCATGCTGTATTGTATTCATACAAAATCGTAGGTAGTTTGTCACATTTCAAATCACATTGTCTCGAATAAGATGTATTATAGATCACAACCACACACATTCTCGACTTGCTTCATGAATAGCAATTATCTCAGTATGACTAGATGAAGTAGCCACGATTGATTGCTTAGTGGATCGCCAAGATATGGCAGTGCCTCCACATGTAAACACATAGTATGTTTGAGATCGAGCCTTGTGTGGGTCGGATAAATACCCAGCGTTGGCATAACCAACAAGATCGGGACTGCAATTATTGCCATAAAATAAGCCCATATCGGTAGTCCCTTTTAGATACCGCAATATGTGTTTGATTCCATTCCAATGGCTCCTTATAGGAGCAGAGCTATATCTTGCTAAGACATTAACTGAAAAAGTTATGTCAGGTCTTGTAGTATTAGCAAGATACATTAGTGCACCAATTGCACTAAGATATGGTACTTCAGGACCAAGTAGCTCTTCATTCTTTTCTTGAGGTCGGAACGGATCCTTATTCACATCAAGTGATCAAACAACCATCGGAGTACTTAATGGATATGCTCCATCCATGTAAAACACTTTTAATACCTTTTCTGCATAGGTAGATTGATGAACAAAAATTTCGTTTGCCAAATGTTCAATTTGCAAACCGAGACATAATTTTCTCTTTCCGAGATCTTTCATCTCGAATTCTTTCTTTAAATAATCAATTGCTTTTTGGAGTTCTATAAGAGTTCCAATAAGATTTATGTCATCCACATATACGACAAGTACAACAAATTTCGATGTTGCTTTCTTTATAAAAATACATGGACAAATGACATCATTTACAAAACATTCCTTTAATAATACTCATTAAAGAGGTTATACCACATTCTTCCTGATTGTCCAACAGGAACATCAATACGGATTGGAACAATCTCTGCAGGGATATGTGATTTTGTTATCCTTTTTAGATCTGTAAATGCGTCTGGCATTTGATTTGCTATTTTCTGCAAGTGAATGATCTTTGGTACCTCTTTTTCACAAATGGAGGCACGTGGATCATGATGAGATAATGATGAATTTTTTCACAAAATTTCCCGTTTGGTTTCACCAATTATTCCTTCTAATTTTGGAAAAAAGTGTCTCATCGAATCGACAATATGCGAATCGAGCAGTAAACAAATCTCCCGTTAATGTTTCGAGGTAGCGAATAATTGATGGCGATTCAAACCCAACATATATTCCTAACCTTCTTTGGGGACCCATTTTGGTACGATATGGCGGTGCTACAGGCACATATACTACACATCTAAAAATTCTTAAATGGGATATATTAGGTTCATAACCCAAAACTAATTACAACGGAGAATATTTATGATAATTTGTCGGTCTGAGACGAACTAGCATTGTTGCATGCAAAATGACATGACCCCAAACAGAAGTAGGTAACATCATTTTCATGAGTAACTGTCTTGCTATCAATTGTAGACGTTTAATCAAAGACTTTACAAGGCCATTTTGAGTGTGAACATGAGCTACAGGATGTTTCACTTTTATCCCAATTGATAAGCAATAATCATTAAATGCTTGGGATAAAAACTCAACAGTATTATCAAGTTTAATAGACATAATTGGATTATTGGAAAATTATGCCCGTAATCGGATTATTTGTACCATTAATTTTGCAAACGTCAGGTTGCGAGATGACACTAGGCACACATGAGACCATCTAGAAAATGCATCTATTAAGACCATAAAATATCTAAACGACCCACTAGGTGGGTGAATAGGTCCACAAATGTCCCCTTGTATACGTTCCAAAAACGCAGGGGACTCAAACCCAACCTTTGTCGGTGATGGTCTAATAATTATCTTGCCTTGATAACAAGAAGTGCAAGAAAAATCATTATTTAAAAGAATCTTTAAATTCTTTAATGAATGCCCATTTGAGTTTTTTATAATCTGTCTCATCATAATTGATCTAGGATATCCCAATCGATCATGCCAAAGTACAAAAGTATTGGAATCAGTAACCTTTTGGTTTACGGTAGAATGTGCCTCAATTACACTAATTCTTGTCCAATACAGGCCACAAGATAAAGATGGGAACTTCTCAATAACCTTTTTCTGGCCAGAGACATTTTTGGTAACGATGAGATATTTAAGATTATTCTCATTTATTGTCTCAATATGATATTCATTTCGGATGATATCTTTAAAACTCAACAAGTTCCTCTTGGACTTGGATGAGAACATTGCATTATCTATGATAAATATTGTTCCCCTAGGCAGAGTTATAGTGGCTCTTCCAGAGCATTCAGTTAGATTACTATTACTAGAAATTGTAGTAACATCTGCCTTACACACACTTAAATGAGAGAAATATTTCTTCTCTTTGAATATTATAGGTATCCATATTTACTTTTCATGGTTTGACATACAAAACAAATATACAAATAAACATCAGTATTATCAAATTAAAAGGAAAATAAATAAAGTTAAATCAATGGTTCAATAATGACTTTTAATGCAATTTCGAGCAAACTCTGATTATGATACAAACAATTCCATAGCCAAAAATAATGCAATTGTTGTCATATGATTTAAAAACTGTAATAGTGAACGAGTTGACTGTTAACATAACAAGACGTTAATTTCTCTCTTATCATTCTGCTTCGATTCTTAAAACTTTCCACCAATAATTTTGAATGTAAAACATACAAGCCTAAACTCATTTTGGTAGACATGGGTTCAGTGTACTTCTCAAATATCCTTATCTGACGGATAACTCCAAGTTTTATTATTATCCAAGAATAAAGAACTTTAAGTTCATTTCTTTGGTGTTGAGGTTCTTCGTTTTACTATCCTCTTTCGTCTATTTAGTACTTAACCAATTATCAATTTGTTGTTTTGCTAGTCAACAGAAAAGTTAAGTAAACCAAATCAATAATAAATAATGATTAATCAAAACAAAGTCAGATAGAATGAAAGCTTTATTAAATAAACGACTATCGCTAAACTAATTGATACTAATTGAAAAACTATTACTCATGTAAAGACTACAATTACATGATCTTTATTCACTAACTACTACGAATAGGTAAAATTAAGTCAAACTACTCAATCATCTTTAACCACGGATCCACCACCGATCAAATGATATATTTTTTTATCAGGGTGCTCAAAAAAGTCTGCCACATCCAAGTGGGTGATGTCAAATTCATTGTCATAGACAAAATTAGCTTCAGGGCTTTTATTCTTTAGATACGCTTGATAAAGCTCAATCAAATGTCTTAGTTTACGACAAATATTTGCCCAATACCTTTTTCCACCGCAACGATAGCATTCAATTTTTGAACTCTTTGCATTTGGCTTCTCATCTTTTCCTTTCCACTTTTGATGGTTATTTTTCTTTGGGGGATGATTAACACCAGGAAAATTTCTACCATGGCTACGGCCACGACCACGAACAGGGCCACGACCTTTTTCACGCTTAGCATAACGGGAATACACCTCATCCACTTCCGGCAATGGTATGGACCCAGTGGGCCGATTATCGTGATTTCTCATGAGCAAGTCATTATTTCGTTCAGCCGCAAGGAGAAGAGAAATCAACTCAGAGTACTTCTTGAAACCCTTCTCTTGGTACTGTTATTGCAGTACCATGTTGGAGGCATGAAACGTTGTGAACGTTATTTCAAGCATATCATAGTCAGTGATACTATCTCCACAGAGTTTCAATTTAGAAGTAATTCTGAACATCGCAAAATTGTATTCAGAAACAGACTTAAAGTCTTGGAGCCTCAGATGAGCCCAATCATATCGTGCTTGTGGAAGTATGACCAACTTTAAATTGCCATATCTTTTCTTTAAGCCATTCCACAAAACAAGTGGATTTTTGACTGTGAGATATTCTATTTTCAACCCTTCATCAAGGTGATGGCGTAAGAAAATCAAGGCCTTAGCATCGTCTTGGGTAGATGCTTTATTTTTATCTTTAATGTCGTCTCCAAGACCCATTGCATCTAAATAGATTTATGCATCCAACACCCACGACATATAGTTCTTGCTCGAAATTTCTAGGGCAACGAACTTTCGTTTCATAATATCAGACATTATTAAAAGAGTAGAAAAACTATACCTTAGTCTTCTCAAAGAGTTTCTTGAGACGGTAGAGTCTCGTGCTGATAGCGTGAAATAAACAATAAGGAAAAGAATAATATTGCAAGGAAAAAAGAGGTAATGCTTATTGAATTTCAGATGATTTACAATGGGGTAAAGCATTTATAGGGGAAAAATGACTTAGCCATAAAGTAACAAACTTTCTAAAAGATAGACATTCACTCTAAGTACAATTCTATTCATAACAGTACCACCTTATTCCTTTTTTGGTTACTAATTCTAGGATAAGTGATCTTAGGATTAAAAATAGTACCGAGATAACTTACACCTGCCAGATGGTGGAATAGTAATCCCAGGATAAAACAGTAAAATTGACAAGCCCCAAATTAATATAACATACCAAACAGACAATAAAAAATAATATCAAAATAGCTAATTTCAATATAACTAATTCCAGCATAACTAATCCCGTATAACTTGTCTTCAAACCAAACGTCCCTAGAATGTACGTCTATGTTTGTAAATGATAATGACTTTTCTAGACTAGAAGAATGGTGTGTTCTGATGTTTCCTTTCCTTTTCCTTGTTTCTTGTCTTGATTTTGTGTTGAGATATTCGCTGAGAGTTGAGATGGGACGTACTGGTGGTGATTCTTCAAAAGAATTCTATATTACTTTGCATCATTCTCTTTTTCATTTTTCCGTTAGGCAAAAGGGATGTTAAGAATTGGAGTTGACGCTTCCTCGTACGAAAAATGAACTTTCACCTTCTTCACCATTCTTACCTTTTTCACTGCTCTACCTAGGCTTACCAATTTTATACTCTATTTATTAATGTGTTTACCTTATGCAACGATGAAGTATTTTTTTTATTATTATTTATGTAATTCAATTTATTGTTGCATATTGTGGTTAATTTCGTGTCTAATTTCACTCAATATGAGTTTTTATTTAAATATAGTTATCTTTAAGTAATTTTATAGTGTTAAAGTATTAATATCTAAGTGTATAGAAATGAAACTCATTTATTATTATCTTATCTGAAAGAATTTAGTGAAATTTTGAGTATAAAGAATAACAATTTCCTTTTCAAGGTCATCATTAGCCTAATATATAAAATGGGAAGAAAGAGAAGAAACAAAAATAAAATACGGACACCGACACATACCTCTACCTCCGAACTATAATTATACAAATTTGAGTAGGCCGGAATATGATTACCTTTGGATGGCAAAATATTTTTTTTCTTCTTAGATTTTTTCAGTTCTTTACTCTTAGAAACTATCTGTGCAAATTAAGAAAATAAAATATACTAATAAAAAAATCAACAGGTAGTAATATAAAAGCAATTGCTCTACATATTATAACAATTAAAAAAAGAACATATATAAAGTCCAACAAGATATAAAAATAAAACAATAACATAAGTGATAGAAACTAAGGGTCCACCAAACTATATAGAGAATCAGGTTCTCTATTAGTTCCCACAGAACACACGCACACTGCAGTAGGTAAATGACACAAAGAAGTTTAACGTGGAAAACTCCCAACTCACGGGATTAAAAATCACGACCTACCCTTGTAGAATTTCAACTTCACTACTAAGCAAACTTTAGATTACAACCTATTGTAACCTAGGGATTAACCTCTTAATCCCTCACTAACTTGTAACAACTCCATTACAACCCACTTTGTAATAACTCTATTACAAAGATTTACAACTCGACTAACTCTAGCCAAGACACAAACAGAAGGGTTTATGATTTACAAAGGTTTTCTACACAATGCTTCTAACTAAGCTAAGTAGGAATTACAAGAACTTTAACAAAGGTGCAACATAACTAAGGACATGTAATAACTAAATACAGGGAACTGGTCCATTGTTATGTTGTTCTTTGTTCTTGATGCTCTTGGGAATCGCTTGCCAGATTGATTGGTCACTTGAGAGAGGGCTTGATGGATTCTTCCAAAAGTTCAAGTGATGTTTTGCCTTTGATTTAATGTTAATATAACATTGGTGACATCACTTGAATGATGCAAGCATGTTTGGTACAGGAGCATTCCCAATGAAGTTGACTGCTACACTGTTTTGCATTGTTGCGTATGCAGGCAACAACTTTACCACTGTTAGAGAGTTGACTGGGTATGGTCACCAGGGGAACTGATGTCCATCTGTTCCCCTTGTTGTTTCTTTGTCGACTGAAGAGTTGATTTACATCTCCAACTTGAGATTTGTTATTCCCACGTACTTGAGGGTGTGTATCAGGTTTCTTATCTGGTTCTTGTCATTAAGTTTGTTAGATCATCAAAAGATAACAAGGTACATATAACCTATAAATTTTCCCCTTTTTGAGGATAACAAACTTATAATTGAAGTTCCCCCTAAGAACCAGAATGACATACACATAACCCGTATTCCCCCTGAATCTGTTCCCCCTCAATTATTTTTCCCCTTTTGGCATCATAAAAAGCTCAGTAGCAAGCAATAAGCAAAAAGAAGTCTAGCTTGGCTAACTCATGCCACATGTGTGCACACAATCATGACTAAAATAGAGCAAATGAGCAAGACATGCACAACAAAAGGAGGAAACTTTCATTAATATTTGGATATTAAGCAGGGAGCAGTTCCATTGTTACCAACACATCCACAAAATAAAAATAACAAAAACAGAAGTACCAGTCATAAACATCATCAGAACTAAAACAAAGGAAAAACACTAAGATTTGACACTGGAAAGGGAACACTTTCTAGGGAGCACTAGAAGGGGAAGACTTAGCTGAAAAGGCAAGGGTTTTAAAAAGGATGTCAATTCGAGCATTAGCTGACATTTGCTCATTGAGCAGTTTCTCCTTCAGGTCCTCAACCTGTTTCCTGAGGTAGGCATTTTCTTTGGTCAGATGGGCCACCTCTGTGCTGTGAGAGCTGTGCAAACCAGGTGCCTCTTGAAGCTGACCCTTAAGAATGACATTCCTTGCCTTCAGCTTCCTTATCTCATCAGTGGCACTGTTTTGGGTGTTGATCAACTGGGAGATAGTAGAAGTGCTGCCAACCCCTCCAACCTTATCAATGCACTCACATTCCTTGAGTGTGGTCTTGGAGAAGGTTTGCTTACGAGTACCCACATTAGCTTTTCCCAAAGGGAATTTGAAGAACTCAAAAACCTTAGTGAGGAGGAACCCGTAAGGCAGCCCATGATTACCATCCTTGAACTCTGCCATCTTCTGCATATGTTCTATCATGATACCAAGCAGGTCGATAGTTGTGTATCCATCCAGTGCTTCCATGAGAACCAGGTCTGCTCGAGATGTAATGGACCTTCTTTCTGTACAAGGGAGAAAAACCTTGTTCACCAATTCAAACAGCAGTTGGTACACTGGAAGGAGGGCCTTCTTGTGTAGCCGTTCCCCTTGCTAAACTGCCTTATCCTTCAAGATAGTATTTCTAAAGTTCGAAGATCAGGTTCCCTGAACAGAAGACAATCCCTCAACAGGCACTCCCAAAATACGTCCCAGCACAGCAAAGTCCATCACAAAATCAATACCATTCACCATTATACAAATATGATCATCCTCAACTGTAAAGAAGTCGGCATAAAAACTGCATACTTTTTCCTCATAAACTTTGGGACTGTCACTTGTGAACAGGTATCTCCACTATTGGAATTCACAGATTTCCACCAATTGGCGCATGCCAGCCATATCCAGAATATCAGGGGAAAATGTACGGCCCCACAACACCTTTTGATTTTTCAATTTTTCCTTGCCAGCATCCTAGGTATCATCAACCTTAGTCTTTTTGGAGGAACCGGGTTCCTTACTAGCATCACCCTTCCTTTTTACTGATTTGCGAGCACTTTTTCCTTTCTCAGTAGAGTTCTCAAACATCCTCTTCCCAGATACTTTTTCAACTGATTCTTCTATCACTGTGTCTCCAGATTCCTCAACTACCTTTTCATCAGAGTTGTCACCTTCAACTTTGTTTAAACTCTCCGTACTCACAGAGGACTCCCTTTTTGACTTAGGGATAATATGCTTCTGTGAGAACATATGAGTTAAGGAATCAGGTTCCTCATCCACTTCATCATCAACATTGACAACAGGCACTACTTTCTCATTCGCAATCTTCCCATCCTTTACCAATCTTCTCCTCTTTTGTTGTTCTTGGCTTTTCCTAATAACAGACTCAAGAGCCTCCTTGTTTTGCAACCTAGTGGTAGGTCTCTTAGGAGTTGGCGCTTGAGTAGTGTCATGTCTACTCCTAGCCCTAATAAAACTAGCAATAGCCACATTATCATAATCATCTTCACTGTCCTCATTCTCCTCTTCAGATAAAGATCGCATTTCAGGAACAACCATGGACAAGGGCTCAGATGGAGCAAGATCAGTACTGACCTGGGGTACTTGAGAGGAACCAAGGGTTGGCTCCTCTTGGGTGGAGGGATCAGGTCTCTCAGTTGGTGCCCCAGTAGTACTGGCCGGTGCTGATGTTTCAACAGGCACAAGTTCCCTATTCTCCACTAGTGTACTATTTTCTTCCCCTTGAGACTCAGACACACCTTCACCATCCTTAATAACACATCCCTCAACAGCTATTGACAACATATTTTCTATGGCCTCTTGTTCTTGTGTCCCCATGGTAAACCCAGAAGTAGGAGGAATATTACCTGTAAACTCAAGGCCAGGGGCTGGATATGGCCAACATATTGATCTTTACTAGGGCTTTCTTCCATTGGTAGACTGGAAATTTCTTGATTCTCTTCTTCTTCTACTGTATCTTCTTCAACCATTCTTTCTGGCAAGGTAGAAGGAGAGGTCACAATCATAAACTTCTTGGGAGTCGAAGTTTTGCGACTCCGATGAGAACTAGTACTCGATTGGGTTGGGGAGGAAGCAGAGGGTGGTTGTGACTCTATCTTAGGGTTTGGACTGGTCGGAATGGAGAGTGTGGGTTCTATCACTGACGTTTTAACAGGTGAGAACACAGTGGGGATGACATTTGGAACATTTTGTGTTTCTTGGTGTTCAGACATGGTAGAGTGCAGTGATTTGAAAAAGAGAGAGTTTTGGTTTGAAGAAAGAAAAAGAGCAATTTTGGATTTTTGATGTGAAAGTGCAAATGGATGTATTTAAGAGGAGTGAGGGACCGGTTAGGAATATGAAGCAATTCGGGTAGTCGGGTTGCTTCATTACGGGCAAGACGTTTGGGTTCACTAATCGGGAAAGAAAAGAAATTGACAGTGCAATGACGTGGCACCGTTTCAACCGTTTAAAAAATTATGCATGAGAGTACAGAGAAACTACTAACCTGTGTCTGGGGAATCAGGTTCCCTGATAGATTTTGCAAATGTAAGCCTCATCCTTTGACCAACGTGCAATGCATTAGTTGCTTGTTTGCTCTGTAATCATCATGCGTGTCTACCTGCAACGGTATATAAGTGAGTTAGACTTTGCCAGAAAATACTTTTTAGCTAATTTACCTGTATATTTCTTTCATAGCCAATCATCGAGGGACCAGGTCCTCATCTTGGTTTTATCAACCCTAGCGCCAAGCGATTTCTTTCAAAGTGTTCTTTGCTCAGTGCTTTGGTGAATATGTCTGCAATTTGATCTTTTGTGCTGCAAAATTTCATACAGATGAACACTTTTTCAACATTGTCTCTGAGAAAATGGTGTCGCACATTGATGTGCTTTGTTTTCTTATGTTGAACTGGATTATTGGCTATGTTGAGTGCACTGGTATTGTCACATAGTAAGGACACACAATCAGAGAACACACCGAAATCTTCTAGCTGCTGCTTGATCCACAATAGTTGAGCACAGCAAGAGGTAGCTGCTACATACTCAACTTCAGCAGTTGAAAGGGCCACTTTGTTTTGTTTTCTTGTGCCCCATGAGATTAGACACGAACCTAGAAAATATGCCATACTAGAAGTGCTTTTCCTATCCACCACATAACCAACATAGTCAGCATCAGCATACCCTATCAAGTCAAAGCTATCTCTTGAGGGATAGTAGAGAACCAGGTCCTCCGTTCCTTTGAGATACCTCAGAATTCTCTTTGCAGCCTTCAGATGAGACTCCTTTGGATTGGATTGAAACCTGGCATAGAGTCCCACACTAAAATCAATGTCTGGTCTACTTGCTGTGAGATACAGAAGTGACCCAATAATGCATCTATACATAGTCTCGTTTACAAGAGAACCAGGTTCATCCATATCCAGGCGAGTGGCGAGTGGCAGTGGCAATAAGTTTATCGATGATCTTTGAACTCTCCATCTCAAATCTCTTCAGAAGCTCTCTGATATACTTTTGTTGACTTATCATTATGCCCCGAGGAGTTTGCTTGACTTGTAGACCCAAGAAGAAATTCAATTCCCCCATCATGCTCATCTCGAACTCACTTCCAATGAGTTTTGCAAATTCCTCACACAATGAATCATTTATTGCTCCGAAGATGATGTCATCAACATAGACTTGTACAATGAGCAGGTTCCTTCCTCGTTTCTTCAGAAATAAGATGTTGTCAATTTTTCCTCTTGTAAAGCCATTTTCTAGAAACAATTTGGACAACCTTTCATACCAAGCACGAGGAGCCTGCTTTAGCCCATATAGTTCCTTGTCAAGTTTGAAAACATGCTCAGGATGTTCATGATTCTTAAATCCAGGAGGTTGCTTGACAAAGACTTCTTTTTTAGAAAGCCATTCAGAAATGCACTTTTGGCATCCATTTGGAACAATTTGAATTCCATATGAGACGCAAAGGCAATGAGAATTCTAATTGCCTCCATTCGAGTAACTGGAGCAAATGTTTCATCATAGTCAATCTCCTCTTCCTGTTTGTAACCTTGAACTACCTGCCTTGCCTTATTTCTGGTTGTGTTTCCAAACTCATCAAGTTTGTTTCTGAATACCCACCTGGTTCCTATAATAGTTCTATCAGCAGGTCGTAGAACCAGGTTCCATACACTGTTCCTCTCAAATTGATGGAGTTCTTGTTGCATAGTTGTAATCCAATCAGCATCTTTTAATGTTTCCTTGGTATTTTTGGGCTCAATTTGAGAGAGAAAAGCTGAGAAGGCAAGCGCATTTCTTGCC